ACCTGTGCAACCTCATAAAGCCCTACAGTTACAGGCCCCAAGTTGTTTTACACCCTTGTAACAACTTAAGAAACCCGAGACAGCCTTCAGAAAACCCTGAACCCCGAAGGCCTCCAAGTCTAGCGGATCTGAATTGCCTCGGTTTCTGGCGATCTCCAAACCACGAAGACCCAAAAGCTTTTCAAGGGCTTGATGCTGTTTTGTGGGGTTTCAAGGCTTTGTAGACATGTGTAGGGTGTTATGGGGAGCTCTTCGTAGTTCCATGGGTTGCGCCGCGAAGTCTGCCAGGAATTAAGATGTTAGAGTTAGGTCCCACCCTAAACTACTGAACCATGAGCAGACTTTCGGGGAGCGAGGTCTCCAAGTATGGCGGGCGAAAGGTGTCGGTTTTGAGTGGTGTAGGTTTGCTTATAGAGGGTTTAGATTTCCGGGTCCAGGGTTCAACTTTCGGGGTTCGTGCCTGGGCATGACCCAAGTCTTTTCAAGAACAACACTCCCCGAGACAGTAGATTTTTGGGACACAGCGATGTCCAGATCGGTACATTATCAGGTTCATAGTTCGGGCTGCTGGGCAAGCTGCAGTCTAGTACAATGCGCACTGCAGGTTTAGGGTTCCGGGGTACGGCCAGAGCCACTTAGTCGTGCCATACGCCTTCTCTGGACCTGGACGCAAGGATGCTGGAAGAGCCCGGCATATCTCCTAGAACTAAGCCAAGACCACCCACCTTTAACCGTTCAGCCCTAAAGGTTTAAGCAGATCCTCGCAGGCCCAAATCCACAAGATCCACAAACCTCAAGCCTGGACCCCGAAACGAAACCCCAACTGCCTGAAGCTCCAGTACTACCCTTCCCGTGCTTCGAGCCGAGGAACCATCTTTACGCTTGTGAGACGGTGTATTCATCGGCGCAGGTCGACATTGCGCCGGAATCGGGGGCTTAGAGCTCGAAGGTCTGGGGTTCGGGACGCCATGAGTCTTCAGTGCTATAGTCTGCTGGTAAGCCCTTGGTCTAAGGCAAGAGTTCGGGCCAAAGGTCTAAGTAACCCTAGACCCAAAACCGTACCGCAAGGTTGCATGGCATCTGGATCGACTCACTGCAAGACTGGCAACTGCGATTCGAAGGAAGGCGGTGCGGACCGGGCTTCTAGGGAAGCGCGTCGAGAACATGACAGTCTTGGGGACAAGGGCTTGTGGTTCAGGGGTTCTGTCGGGTTGAAGAGTTTAGCGGTTTCGGGTATAGCTGGTTGAGTGTATTTCGGGACCTGAGGGGCCTGAAAGTCACCCGATGGCGCGGAGATTGCACCAGGACACTTAGGGTATCAGCTTCGGGGTTTAGGGCTCGAGCACTGTAACTTGTGGCCTTCCCAATGGAACAAATTTTCGACCTTAACGAGCCATACGGCATCCTAAACCCTGAGCAGAGTCCTAAGCCGAAATCACAGGTTGAAGATGAAATCCACATCGTCCCAGAAAGGCAGTTCAGCTGCGTCCAGCTCTACAACTCGAAACTGAATTGACAGTTGCCCGAACCAAGGGGAGTTAGGATGACCATAAACCCTAAATCCCGAACCCTGAAGCTTAAACTCTAAACCTTGAAGCATTAATCTCAAAGCGGCTTAAGGATCTAGGGCTCGAGGGTTTCAGGGTCCAGGTTTGGTCATCGAAATCTCTGGAAGGTTAAATTCAGGTTTTCGAGCGGGTGAGTAACGATGCACTCTTCTCCAGAAGCCCGAAAGTCCTACAGCCTAAGATGTTAAAGCCCTAAGCCCTGGCACCTCTGGCCAAAAAGGACGGCCAGGCAGCCCTACGGCAGAGGGTGGCATTCGGGATTCCAAAAACCATGCGAAGCAAAATTTCTCGGACCCTGAAGCCTTCGACTTGCTCCCTTGGACACTAAGACACCAAACCCCAAGGCCCTGAAGCTCCGATGTCTCAGCTTTCCCGAGGAAACAGCAGACGCTGGAGCAGGACCAGGGCAGTCTGCCAGTCCTTCCCAGGCTAAGGCTTTTTCAGGTGTAGGATTAGAGTAGCGATTAGGGCCTAGGGTGTAGAACGAGTGCTAGACTTGTTCGAGCGTATCTTTAACTTTCGACGGTAGACTGGCCAGACACAAAATGTCGGAGTAGTTCTCGAAGCTTCATATTCTCTTCGACGCAAGACCTCACGAAAAAGACCATAAACAGACACCGGAGAGCAGCTCAAGAAAGTTGAAACAATAAAGCCAAAAAGCCCCATTCATTGATGGAGACGTCAACCACTTCCAAAGACCAGTTTGCTAAAACCCGTTTGGCCTGCAACATTGTCCGTGAAGCAACGGACTCCGGCGCTTTAGTTTTGGGCTCAGGGCGCTCTGGGTTTTGTTGACCAAGGTTTGAACTCCTCAGGCCTACAAACAATCTTCAAAAACCAATCGGACTCGGCTTGTGGAAATGCATAATTAGAATCTCCAAACTAGGTTCTCAATGTCTCTCAATGATTAGAATACAACCTAGTAGAAACTGCCAAACCGCATAAAGAGAGCACCAGACCACCGTCTCACAGAGTTGTCCCGCCTCGCGAGAGCACGCCAGCGCTCTGCCAAACCTCAACCAACTGGCATTTAGGGGCTTTAGGGCCTTGAGGGTTCAGGATTTTTCAGGTTTCCACGTCTCAGATTCCAGCGTCTTTCTGCAACCTGGGGACCCCAGGGCTTGGAGGGTGTAGGGCCTGAGGGCTCTTCCATTTTTCTGTCAGGTTTTGGGATTTGGAGGGGTTCAAGGATCGGGAGGTTCCGTCTGCATGACGAACAGGCTTCGCCATTGGCCCAGCTTCCTGCTTCCGAAGGCAGTACAACAGGATTAGGGCTATGGTCCTGGTTCGAGTCTAAGGTTCGGGGATTCAGGCTTAGGGCTTGCAAGGAGTCGTCGCACTGCAGAATAACATGCAGCACCTCTCTGCAGAAGGTCATTACGAAAACAACAGAGGCTCAGAGACAGGACAATGAACACGATGCAACTGCTAAAACTGTATACAAACCCTGTTTCGAGTTTCGGGGAGTTGTGGGTTTGTCACGAGAACAAAGCCGTCACTCTTCTATCTGATGGGCCTCAGTCCAAGCCGATAGCGCAATGTCAGGTTTGCCAGTGGCCAGCAATAGATGACGATTGGAGCAGCACTGAGCCTCCTATCTCAAAACTTCGCTTGCGGAAACAAGAAGCAACCGCGGGCACTCTTCGCCCCAAAGGCCCAGAATCACTGGGCGAACGCAACCTTTGCGATAAATTGCCGTGCAAGTAACTCTTCGGATAGCACTCTGCAACCCCGCGCCTATCCCTGCACCCTAAAGCCCAAAGCACTACACACAAAAACAAAGTATGAGCCACAAGCCCCGAGCCCCAAACCGAGCCCCAAACCCGAAAATACCAAAATCTAACTCAGCCCTCAGCCCTTAACACAGGGTTGGGGGGGTGTGTTATAGTAGGAACACCCAACCTCAGACCCTGAGCCCCGCGCGTGTGCAAGTTGGGAGCGAGTTGGGCCAAGGTCATCTGCTCGAGAAGCCTCTTCAGCGGCAGGCTTTATGTAGGGCCTTGGGACTTTAAGGGTTTAGGCTCTAGACGTCGGGGGTGTTGCGGGTTTCGGATTTCGGGAATTAAGCGTTGTAGGAGCCCAGAACCGGTTGAGAGGCTCTAGAGCCAACAGCCCCGAATTCCCTCAACCCTCAGGCTCCGATTTTGGAGTTCAGGGCTTCGGGTATATGAGGGGTCGGAGGTTGGGCCTCGCCGGGTATCTCTGTTGGGCTGTAGGGCTTGCAGGATGGCTGGCTTTCGAGCATAGGACGGCATAGGACTGCGAAGCTGTGTTGCTATTGTGTGCTCAGGGGTTCAGCGGCCTTCATCAAGAGTTTGTAAACTTGAAGAAGCATCTACTAGCCCTGATTTTGCAAGGCCTACAGAACTTCATTGTTGAAAGGTTTCTATAGCTTGGGGATTCCATAACACCAAAATTCAACCCCCGTCGACCGGAGATGACCGCTCGCAACGACTATCCGAGCTTTGGCACATTCGTTGAGCCCACTCGGTTTCGGAGAGTGCTCTTCTACGCTGAACCTAAACAGCTGGCATAAGCCTGTCCAATACCCTCAACTCAAAACACCTGCAGAGCCCAACAACTATACCCTGAAACCCTCAACCCTGAAACCCTAAACTCTTTAAGCCCAAAAGAGACAGCTGGCGCCTGAGACCTAGCCGGCCTTCACCAGCCAGCATCTGGGCAAAGCTTTTGTAGCGTGTTGCTGCTTACTGGGGCTTTGGGAGTTTAGGGCTCTGGGGTTGTAGGTAAGAGCTTACAGGGTCCTGGCAGGGCTTCGTCCAGGTGCGAGGTATTTATCTGCCTCCAGGCTCTTTCGAGGCTCTTTCGAAGTTCCTGGTGTGTTTCGGGCAGCTTGGCATCGTAGATGGCTGTTAATAAACGAGGCGCAGAACCTCTGGATTGTTCTTTTGGTTCGGGGAATCGAACTGCCGAGGTGTCTCGTAGGACCCGAACGTCGGGCGGCTTGCAGTTGAGGCGAACCGTATGAGCCATAAGCTTCAAGTAGAGCTTCGGGTCGAGAGTTCCGAGCTTAGGGCTCAGAGTTCAGGATTTAAGGTTAGGGGCTTAGCGTCACGGTCGAGTGACTATAAAGATAACATATGATGTCAGAGCCCTAAGCCCTAAGCCATGAGAGCGCCTCTGGTGCACGATCTACGACGTCCCTGTCATGCAAATCGAATCCAGTATCCCCGGCCCGAGCCTCAGATCCTTTCCCGAAACTCCCTAACACCGTTCCTTCACGGTTCGCATACGACGAGGCCCAGTGGTGGGAACTCGGGCGACTTACTAAACCCGGCAAGCCGTAATCCGCGCAGTCACTCTGCGCCCGCAAAGCAAAGACATAAGATAAGCCCTAAGACCGAATTAAACATGGGGCCTGCAGGCCCGAGAGCAAAATCCAGTCACGAGCAAGGTCCCCGGCGCATGTGGCGATTGCGGAGCTGACGGCAGGCACGTTCAGCCTCAGTTTCCAAGCAATGCAAAGACAATACACCCAAAAAAGCTTAAAAGGCTGAACATCCCCAAATAGAACCTCAACGCGCAGATGCAGGTCCAAAAGACGACAAAACAATCTTCTGGAATATCCTTATGTTTCGTGGGCCCCTACAAAGCCCGTAAACCTCAGCTCGAAGCACCGACGGTGTAAACTCGGAAGCGTAAACCCTGAAACCCTGCAGCCCCAGAACTCAAAGCCCTCAACCCTACATCCTAAGCCGCTTAATTCAACCAAAACCCTATAAGCTGTCTGAACTTCTCCAGCCTGATCGTTCGATGCATCTGCTGCAGCAGGCCAACAGCACGGACCCAGTCTTCGCCTGAGCTTCGCAACGCGTTTGACGCTTTGCAACTTCTGCGGGTGCTGCAGGAGCTCAGGTAGCTGTAGTCTTCGTGTAGTCTTCGTAGCGTCCGGGTGGTGTTGACAAGGCCCTCTACTAGGCCCACATCAGTACCTATAGTATCAACGAATACCAGAGACTTTGAAAACCGCTCGGCGGAGCAAAAGCAATGGGCCGAGTCCTCCTACAGTAGGTGAAAATCATCGAAGAAGGTAACCAAACCGATCTAGCTGCTTATGTATATATATATATATATATGCATATAAATATATATATATATATATACACACACACACATATGGTACCTCGATGTAAACCCTAAACCCTAAACTGTCTAGGGCTTGGCGTCTCTGCAGGATTTTGGGCATGGGATGGTTTAGGCGGTGGGCACCGTGCCGGGGTTGCGGAATGTTGGTGCTTGTCAAGATTCGCATGGTTCGAGCCTCCCTAAACTGCTGTAGCGCCACAGGCCTGTGAAACACTCTGAAACAAAAACCTCCCAAAAGCCCTCACCCCTCTCGCCCTAGGGTTTAGGGCTTATGCCCTAAGTTAAGGCCCTTAAAAGCCCAAAGCCAAAGCTTGAAATGTTCGAGGGAAGCGCCCTGTAGATTTGACGATCCGAACGGCCATTGGAACTTACAGAAAACGCTGCAGGGTTTCGGGTTCCTCACTCAGACAACTGGAGAAATCACATCTAAATACAGGCAGACGACAATGGAAATTAACGCCAAGTCGAAAAATCCCAAGCCCAAAAGCCTACGACCAACTAACCTTCTGCCCGAAGGGCTGGACGAAGCGATCGCTGCGCCGTAGCTCTGATGGCTGAGCTGCAACGCATGCCTTTTGGCTCTTGGGGCTTAAGCGGTGTGGGGCAGGGTTTCCGGTTGAGGGGTTTGGGACTTGGGTTTCTTAGGCATGAGGCCTCCGAGAATCAGATGTGGGGTGGAACTTCTGCTGGAATCCTGTTACACTGTTTTCCTGGTTTGTGGCTCCTACTTCTCGTCCTGAAACCACTTGCAGGTCAAGGTTTAGGATTCGGGTCTGCGCTTCCACAAAACTATGCAAAATCCCTGCACGGCAGGGATACTTCAGCTTTCAAGCCCTGCATCGCTGAAGAAGCCCCGAGCTGTCAGCCGAGTGTCCGACATCTTGGACGCGTGAACCGATAATCGCCAAAGCACTCAAGCCCAAAACCCCTAAACCCCAGAGCCATTAAGCCTTAAACCCCTAAACTCTAAACCCTAAATCCAGGACCTTAATTCTTAAACCCAGCCTTCCCATCCGCACAAGCTCCTCCACGGATCGTGACCACTGCGAGGCACCTAAGACTTGGTTGTTGGAGCTGAGGAGTTTATGTAGAAAATCGGGCTTTGGGGTACTAGGGTATTTGCATTAGGTGTGTAAGTACCGTAAATATATCTACAAAGCTCATGAGATTGCATACACTATCTATGATGTTAGGACTAGGAATTCATAACTTGGCGAGCCTAAATTCTAGAAATCTCAGGAGTTATGCGATATCGGGCTTAGAGTACAACTGGGTCAGGTTCCTGCAGTCTGACTACAAACTGAAAAGTTGGCACAGGGACCTATCTAATTGGGCTTCGGGGCATGTCCTGCTGAGCTGCCAGAGCCGATAAAGCGATACTACGACTGCTGCATGCTACCTACACACCGAAAAGCCTGAACCCTAAACCCTCATTGGCTCTTGCTGGGTGTCTTGCTGGCGGGGTCCTTGGCGGACAAGAAAAACACTTGGGAATGGCCATGGAATACTTGCGGTTTGAGCTTCGGGCTTTAGGGTCTGTGGTTCGCGATCTTCGATGGGGGGGTTTGGTTCTTCCGGTTCAAGATCTGCGGTGGGCATGAGGTGCTTCATTCCTGGTTTAACCAATTGACGGGTGAGCCTGTCTGTCTGTCTGTCTGTCTGTCTGTCTGTCTGTCTGTGCGTCCGTCCGTCCGCCTGCCTGCCTGCCTGCCTGTCTTGTTTTTGAGCTTGTGTGGCTTATGGGATGTTCACCGTCCATACCAGCAGAACCATACCACCCAAGGCCCTAGCCCCCCCGCCCCCAAACCCAATCCTCTAGAAGCCCTGAAGACTGTGCAAGCCGTGAAGAGTCATCCCTACACCCTGAGCCCAAGGCCCCAGGACCCCAAGCCCTCAACTCCATAAACCCTGCAAACCCTCTGCCCGAAATCTTAAACCCTATAAGCCCCGAGCCCACACACTTATGTTTGTTGCCGTGGCGTTCGCACTACATCAGGTGGAGGTTCGGGTATGTCTATTGATTGAACCTAAAAGAGTGCCCGGGGGTTCTATATGCAGACGTCTCCAAACAACTCTTCAGCCAGTTACGGCTCCGTGAGCCAGTTCTAAATGAATACTGCGGCGACTCAGGGTCCAAACCAATTACCTGCGGATATTATTATACTATATTATGTCATATTATATTATGTCATATGAATATTATGTCATATCATATTTTTGTTATATTGGTTTACATTATGTTATACCATGTTATAGTGTTTGTAGCTCAGTTCATGCTGGCATGAACGCCGTCGCACCAAAGCCTAAGCCCGAAGCAATAAAGCCGAAACCCTGATGGTTTCGGCGCTTGCGTATAGAACAAGCCCGGCTTTGTTGGGGGTTTGGGAAACCCATAAAAAGCCGTGGATGCAAGGGTCGAAGGGGATTTACGGCTAAAGCTTGGCGTTTGAGGTTTCGAGGTTGCACTGACGGGTCCGGCGCTAAAACCCAGGGCCTATGCCCTAAATTAAACCCTCAAGCCTACAAGCTTAGATGTTGAACTCTAAACCTTACCACGCTGCAGCCTCAATCCAGATGATCTTACTCTGCTTCACAGAGCCTCGTTCCGATACCCGGAAGCCGTCCGAAGTGCATACAAATTTCTGTCTGAAGCCTCGACCCTGAAACCCTAAACCCAAAACCCCAGGCCCTCAACCCCAAAGCCCTCAACCCTGAACCAACCCAAAGCCCAAAACCCACCAAAACGCCTGAGGCTGCGTGCCATCAGGGCGTTGTGCAGGGCGGCATCGTCCACGACCCCTCGCCGCAGGGAGCTGGCCAGCAGTCCCCTCGCCTCGTCGAGTCGCGCAGGTCGTAAGAAATGGTTATAGAATTATACAACAGACTGCTGTATTTCATTCTACTATGTTATATATAACGATCCTGATATATATTCTGTTGTATTATACTAGATTATGTTGTAGTGTATACAATGTTGTGTTATACTATATTGGGTTAAATCATATTATACTGTATTATATATAGTTATGTCATTTCACAATGCTATGTCATGTCATGTTACGTTATGTTACGCGGAGATGCCTTTAGCGGGCTCCACGGCCTTAGGGTTGAAAAGGTTCAGGGTTTAAGATAACTCTACACATTTTTCCGGGCTTCATCATGGTTGTGGACTCTTGCGGTTTTGGTCCTGCGGTTTGAAATGCTTACACTGAGCTTCGGTCCTGGGTTGTGGGATTTGCGATGTACTTGAGGGTATGGCGTCTCGGGTTCAAGACTGGCTTTAGGGCCTTAGGGCTGCATGGGTTAAAATGCCCTTATGCTGTTAGCACTCAGGGGTTCCAGGGTGCAGCCATTGGATCCGTTTAGGGTTGAGCCTACAGCGGAATGGTGTGGGCGTCCTCAACTCTGAAGCCTAATAGTCTGCAATTTCCAACTCTAAACTCTAAACCAAACAAACCACAAATCCTAAACAACCACCCCTAGCCACCCAAACTCTAGGCCGAGCACACCCTGCGGAAAACGAGAATCACTTGCGCTCTCCGCTGCACTTGACTTGCGTCCCGAGGTACGTTGGCGAGTTTGCCCAGCATTTCGCAGCAAGCCATGCGGAGAGCTTGGCGTCGTGCTTCGCAAGCTGGTTCTGCACTTGGGTTTGCTGCCGTTTCCTGCCCGTGCCAATGGCCTCCTCCTGGGTTCCCACCTTCAGGTGGTATGCATGGGCTGCGTCATAGCCTTCGTGAGCACAACTTCAGCCAGGTCTTCAATCTTGGCCCATGTCTTCGGAGACCCCTCTTTCTGTGGTGACAAGCTCGGTCCTATTCCAACGATTATGAAACCTTTACAGGCTGGAGAGATGTTCCTACCTCAACACACCACATCCCAGCTGTAAGGTGACATGCAAACAAAGTTAGGCACATCATCTACTAGTTTTGCCGGGGCCTTACAGTTTCTATGTCTATAAACAAGTAGGTTCTAGTACTTGCATGCTTTGGGAGGGTCGGTTGCAGCCATTGAAAAGATGTCACAGTCAGATACACAACTGACTATTGTGTTGGCGATGGGCGAATGCCCGCCACAGGGTGGAATGAAATCTTGTTTTGGGAGGGCTATGTCAACCGTTGTACTTGAGAACAGCAGTCCGGCGTTTCGGAATCAGAAGCTGTTGTTCAAGAGCTTGGGTAGTAAGACTCCAACTACTGGGCCCTAGGCTGCTGGGCTCAGCAGAGACGAAATCCACGGGTCGAATATGAATCTATATATATATATATGTATATGTACATATATATATATGTACATACATCTATACATATACATATATGAATCATGTGTATATATACATACATCGGTTTCGGTAAGTATCCAGGCCCCTATACTACTGGGCACATGAAAATCTGAATATGTATGTGTATGTATGTTATATATATATATATATATATGTGTGTGTGTGTGTGTTCACTCTCGGTACTCATCTATCAGTAGGCCCCTTTCTTACCACTTGTGGATTTAGTTTCCTACAGACCATGTATAGACCTAACCAAAAAATCACAAACGGAACAGAAAATTACAGCATCCGAAACCCTCAGCTTTATAAACACTTCCTCAAGCGTTTTCGATCTGAAGCCTCCTGCCATCGCCGTCCTTTGCTGCACACCCTGACCTGGGTTTAGGGTTCATGTTTCAGAGAGTTATAGGGCTCTGTTGGAGTCTAGGTTCAGGGTTTGGGTTCTTCGGAGGTGTCCGGATCTTGGGTGTTGGTTGTGTACCGGGTTTGACTGGAGGGTTTGTGTATTCAACACAGATGTAAGGTTCCATCTAATAAAAAAGCCTCCTGTCAAAGACCTCTCGCTCCAACTCTCAAACCTTCAACCCTGAACCACAAACAACAACAATCTCGAAAAGTCACTGCAGAATCGAAATTTGTTTACGGCACCGGTGTGAATAGCCGGAGACTCTGCCTGCTCTCAAGCCCACTCGAACCCTCAAACCCCAAACCTCTAACAAAAACCAAAAACTAGACAAACGACACACCAGCAACCTGAACCCCTGAACTCGAAGACTGCCTGGGCCTAAACCCTGCACTTCCCAAACGGCCTAAGCCCCACGTAGCACCCGAGCTGAGCTGAAGTCTAAGCCACAGACCGCCGTGGTGCAAAGCGGCGCATCTGCCTGGATCTCCCGGCAGCGCAGGTCCTGGAGCGCTTCTTTGCCTAGGGTTGGGTAGCAAACATAATAATAACAACAACAACAATAATAATATTAATACTAATATTAATAATAATAATATTAATAATAATAGGACCGTTCAAGTTGGTTCAAGAGGGTTTAATGGTTGCTCAAGGCTTTTAAGGATTCCTCTAAGGGTTACTATAATCGGTACAGCAGAGGTTACCAGAGCCCACTTGGACACAAAACACATATGGTCTTCTTGCGAGCCCGTTGGGGTTGCTTTGTCACAACCAATATACAGGGAGTGCTCTCATAGGGCTTCTGAGGTAGGGTTCGATAGATTTGAGCTGCAGTTTAGTAGGTGAGGGCTTCGGGTTCGGTGGGTTTGGGAGCCAAGGGTGCAGGGGGGTCGATGGTCTAATTCAAGGTCATAGGCAGGGTTCTGGGTCAACCATAAACTCCGAGAGCCATAAACCCTGGAATTGTGAAGGGACAGCCCTGAAACCCTAAACTGTACTTGCTGCGAGGCCTTGCAGCACGGGTAGCCTTCACTACGGAGTGCTGCGAGTCCGCGGAAAGTGGGGCTCTTACGGCACACTGGCTGCAAGCTTCATTCGAGATTCCAAACCCCAGCGGGCGCTGTTGCAGAAGGCCACTAACACCTCGAAACGGACTACACAACCCCGAAGCACCCTAAGCCAACACCGTGTTAAAGTCCTTGAGACACCCCACACAGAACGGGCCAAACCCCAAGCACTGTCGCTCCTCAAGAAGCCCGAGGACCTGCTCTGCAGCTTCAGGTGTTTGAGGGTACAGTACTACGTTTCAGAGTTGAGGGTTTCAGGGCTTTGGGTATTGAGGTTTTGGGCTTCAGGGTTTGCAGCTGCAGGGTTTCGAGGTTCCAGGTTGATGCATCTAACTAATCTACGTTTCGAACAGGTGACGTACTGCGTGTTGTGTGGATTGCTGCTCGCACGTGGGTATGCGCACTGAGTGGGGTTCTTAGGACCCTGCATGCTGGCAAGAGCGTTGCAAGAGGTGCACACAGCCTGTGCTGGCGGGAATCTGCAAACGACGAATAGTGCCAATACTGTGACTGTGCCTACACCGTAAACCGCCTTGGAGCGATGAAACCCTGAACCCCAAACCCCTAAACCACACAATAGTTCATTCGTTCCCATCCCGGAATCCGACAAGCCAGACCGTTTCCGCTTAGCATGTGAAAAGAAGGCCCAGTACTTGCCGGTTCTGGCTAGACACAATAAGGATGGAGCCCTTGCGAAGAAATGAAGTTTAGACTTTCTGATTTAACGAGCTCGCAAATGCTGCGACAGCACGAGTTTAGAAGGGCTGAACGAGAGTGAGGCCTCTTGCTGCAAGGGGTCTAAACTTAAACGAACTGTAATGCGGCCCAGAAACATGAAAAGAAACTTTAACCACACCTTCATGGCCGACTCATGGTGCCCTTTCGAACTCTCAAGCCAATCCTTCGGTTGCGGGTTGGGATTTGTAGCCGGGTTACCTATCCTTCGAGCAGGGAAATTGCGGAATCTTAGCTACGCCCTGTCCCCAAAACCCTGCATTCTCAATTGTAGACAACTGTAGAAAAACCCGCCCACAAGGACACTTATACCACTGCAATAGATATATATATATATATATATGCATACGTACATACATACATACATATATACATACATACATATTTGCCTAGACAATCCTGAGTGAAGTGCTTCAGCCATCACATCAATGCAAACCTCAAAGCCTCTGAAGGAGACCAACCCCTGTACTTCGGAAGAAGAGGGTTTAAGATTCAGCTTAAGAGCCAGGGTTCCAGGTTTCGAGCACTACTACTTGTGGTGATGAGGTACCTACCACTTCGTCGGAAGGGACTTCTGAAGGCGTGTGTAGTGATTCAGAAATTCCTTCACAGCCTCTCTGGGCCTTGCGGGGCAGTTCAGGGTCTTTGGATAGTTAGGGGAGGGGTAGCTGTTTGGGATCTTGCTGCTTAAGGTTGAAGGTTTTTAATTGAGCTCAAGGCAAGGCTGAGGGTTCAATATTTAGGGTGTAGGGAGGTGGGTTTGCTGAAGTTGGCAGAGCGACATAAGACTGTGGAAAAGACGTATATACACCTTGTAGGTCGTCGAGACCAGGCAGTTTGATCCATAGGAACCCTGCGTGTGCCTTGCTCCAGTGGCTGCTTGACGAAAGAGCCTTGAGGGCCTGACGAGTCTTCCCACCCTGAATACGCATAGACTTCCAACTTCCAACAGCACACTTTAAGCAGAAATCCTATCGTGGACGCCCTTTTGGGCACTGTCTGCAGGGGCGGTGTTTGCCTAGTTAGGGCTCCTTTCGCTCATTCAGTGATGCACCTGTGTCCAAATTTGTGGTACGGACACGAAAAGGACCTTTGCTTGGGAACGCTCCAACACAGACACACACACACACACACACAGAGACAAAACACACACACACACACACAGAGACACAGTTCAGTACACATGCACACACGCACATGCGCACACACAGTACACATGCACACACACGCACACACAACCCTGAACCTCAACTGCCCTTAACCTAGACTTGTTGGTCTGGGTCCTGGATTTGGAATCTGTCTCTGTCTCTCCGTGTGTGTGTGTCTGTGTGTGCTGGGGTGTTTCTGGGTGGGTGTTGGTACGACTTTTTCTGCGGCTTGAGGGTTACACAATTACATTCTGGGAGTTTTCACAGCAAGGAAATGGGAACCGAAATGCGAAACATAGGACCTCACAGTGAGGCTCCAAGGACCCGGCTGAGGCGAACGTAATGACATCCAACCTCATGAAGTGAAGGGTGGAGGGTAAGGATCTACGGCTGAGGGCTAGTTCAGGCCGAAGATCCATGACTTGGGGTTCAGCAAAAAAAAGCGGGTGCAGGAGTGATCTGGGGTTGCGGATTCCAAGGCAGTGTCAACCATCCCTGGCACTTTTTTGTCGAGGCCAAAATCTGCGCGGCGTCTAATATGAGGACTTCTCAAGCGAAACTGCGAAACCCAATTGCCATAGCCTCCGACTCTAAACCCGAACCTCGAGCCCTGTCCCCGAAGCCCCGAAGCGTACGTCAGTCATGTGCCGATCTTGCGTAACTGTGTATTAATCTTCTCAATCACACTACTTAGTCCCAGCTAGAGCTTGGGCGTAGAAGCTGCGACCTCTCTCTGAACTAACCGCGAACCCCGCAAGCCGCTAAGGCACCAAATCCCAAAGTTCACAGTCTCAGAAACCATGAACACCTTCGAGCCAAAGTCAGGAAACCCGGAAGCCCAAGCCCAGCAGAGCTTTTCCGGGTTTGGACTTCTTTGGGCTTGTAAATCTAGCAGCATACATAGGGTGCAAGGATTTCGGGCTTGTAAAGCTTACGACTTGGGTTTCCGACGTTTGGAGCCTAGGCTTTGAGGGAGAGAACCTGCCAACCTGCAATTTCGTGCTAAGCGGTGCTAGAACCCTGTGCGTTAACCCGAAGCTGGGTACAAGTTCAGGCATCTGCAACCAAGCAATTAACACTCGGTGCTTGCGGTTGCATAGCTGCGTCGCCAAAATGTTAACTTCTGTTAAGCTCGCTAGGAAATCCTCACATGCAGTGTCAGAAACACTGCATCGGTGGGAGCTGCTCGCATTCAAGGACGCTGCTGCTGCACATACCCCAAGTCCGAAACTCGAACTGACCCTACCCCGGATTCTAGACCTAAACCCTTAACCAACCCGACTAAGCTGGCCTCACAAAACTTCTGGGAGCTTTCGGCTCTGCTGTGCAGCCCATATCTGGCTGGATGCCCTATGCCTTCTGCTCACTTCCTGCTTGCTGCCTCGGCTGGGCGAAACTGCAGGAAGTAGGGCTTAGAGACTTTGGGGTTCAGGTTCCGATTCCTAGTTTCGTGGAGGAGACCCGTAGAAGCTAAGCTCTGAGCCCGGAGTCTCATATCCCTGGTCCCAATCCTCATTGTGGTGTTGACTGATCTTTCAGGGCTTCGCGACGTCTAAGTTTCAGTACAACTGCTAGTATGTCAAGCATGGAAAACACACACAAACACACGCCTGTACATCTACATCTACATCTATATCTACGTATGCATCGTATACATCTACATACACATACACATACTCATGCACATATATGTTTTTATGCATACAGAAGATACAAAAAGGTATCTATCTATACACACACACACACTTGTTTGTGTGTTTGTGTGTAATATGTATTTATATACATATTATATAGTATATATATATATA